TTTTTTCTTTTCTCCTTTTTTCTTCTTTTCCTTTGCCCCGCGCTTTTTTTCATATCCTTTCGCTAGTCTCGGGAGTTGTCGTACGCCAGCAGGGTCAGCATCAGGAAACGAAAAATTGACAAGCCCGGGATACTATTTTAGTAAGCGGAAACGTCCGACGTCTCCCATCCTCTTTTCACGGAGTGTGCGCACTGCTTGGCCAAAGATGTACGTACGGTCTTCCAGTGTGACACACCCCCAGTCGAATCACGTGACGTTTTCTGGTGACGACTACGGAGGCTGTTGCACTTGCGATCCACGGTGTCAAGGAGTCATGGACTACGAGGTGGACCCAGCCATGAAGGACTTGCTGATCTGCAATCCCGAAGATGCGGTATAGCTCTCTGCTCCTCCGCTCTGCTGCACGCAATCGCTCCCGCCACGCTCTATGTCAGACAGGCACTCGTGGGATCTCGTCACGACCGCTCGTCCCTCTTCTCGTCTCACCTTTCTCGTCTTTGCGCTAAGCGAAACCCTCGCCACTGGCTGCATGACGCTAGTTATGCGCGCCTTCTTTTTCTTCCCCTGCGATTTGGCTCGCTTCCTCATCTCAAAGCTCGTAGCACTTCTTACTATGACTCTCCAGAAGGAAGATGTGGAAGGTAGAGCCGCGATAGCTGTAGAGGTCTCGGCCTTTGTGCTATTGACCTTCATTGCTTTGCTTGCTTTTCTCGCCCTCCTTGCCTTTTTGCACCATCTGCAAACGCTGCTGCCGCCTTCTCCCCCGCTCCCGCTACCCGAACGTTTGTGACTTAGTAGGAGATTTCCCTCTGATGAAGCCGTGCACTGGTGGCTAACGGCAAAAAAACGCTTTAGGGGTTTGCTATGGTTGTCGAGGCTCGTTCCCATATCACGAGGAACCGCCTTTGGTGATGCAGTCGGACATTCCCTGCCCCGATTTTCTCGCACGCTGTCCTGTTGGTAAAACTTTGGTATTGCTTCGGATCGACGACCAATTAAAGAGGTTCTTTCTCGGATATATGGGTTGTGTTATACTCGCATGTTTTCTTAGTACAGAATGCATGTCTCTCTCCCCTTGCTTGATTGCTCTCTGGTATTTTTCTAAAGTGCATAATGTACATCTCTTCCCCTAGCTGATTGCTCTCCGTTATCTTCCCTTTTTATTATCGTTACCTCCATCCTGAACGATCTGTATACGGAAATCTGTTAGATGCATGATAGCCTGTTCACAATGCTTCCGACTACCGTTACTAGAATAAGGATGCTCATGGAATTTTCTCATTCACTTCCGTTCCTTTTTTTTTTTT